CGCCCGCCGCCCGCCGGCCCACGCGAGGTCCCCAGGCTCCCGCAGAGGGCGCAGCGGGCGCGGGGGGCGGCGTGTCAGCGCGCGTGTCCTTGTGTGTGAGATGAATTGGAGCCACACGAGCGGGGGTTCCTTCCGAGTGGTTTTGATCAGCAACCCATTAAGGGATCATGGAAACTTTTCTGGCTAAAAGGATGAAAACTGAGTAAGTACACAGAACTTTGAACTTGAAACGGAATGAAATCCGTACACGCAGAACCCTGACAGGAACCTTGTCCACTAAACCGCTTGTTCCCTTTTCATGTTGAAAACCGTGAATGCTTACTGTAAAGTGGCTATTTAAAACTGAATGAAGGGAAGCAGTTAAGAAACATAAAAGGGCTGAGAACAGGACTGCTTTAAAAAACCGGAGGACGAAAGGAGGAACTGCTCGGGCAACCTGGCCGGAGTCCAGCTGTGCAACAGGCACTTTTGGTTTTAACCTATTGCGCTCTCCGGCGCTGCTTTCAGGCTGCTTTCAGGCTCCAGATTTACTCTGGTGTTGTTTTTCTCTTTTCCCAGTGAAGCTGAGAAGGAGCTGAACTCCTTACTGTGAGCTTAAGGATGTTGTGGAAATAGGCTTTTCCAGCACCCACTTTGGCAGCCCGCAATGCACTCAGATGGTTAGTTACGGTTATTATTATTTTGATGTCTTTTTTTTTTTTTAATTTTAACCCAGGTCAACTACTTTTCACCATCATCCATGGAAGGGCTCTTATTAACCGCCTCTGACTTTTGGAACCTCTGAGACGTTGGCATGACCCTTTGGAAAGTTCTTAAGTGGAGATGGAGCAAAGTTGACTGGAGTTGTGGAAGAAGACGACAGATTTGCATTTTTCCTGCAGACAAGAAAATAGCGGCTATGACTTTTCCAGTAACGTGGACAGGGGCCAAGTGAAGCTGAACTGGTCATGCTCTGTCGCCCAGTACTCCTTTGTCGTCGGCGGTTGTGCGCCCGGCCCTTCTTGGTGGGCTTGGTGGTGGCAATCTGTCTCTTCTACCAGACTCTGACCATCCGAGGGAGGAGGAAGCTCGCGGCCACTGTACCTGGGGCTGCCCCACGCACACCCAGCGAAGCTCAGGCGAACCGGTGCAAGAACGGATACGCCGAGGACCAGCCCTGCCTCTTTCTCTCCGGTAATGCACAGGAAATCCGAAAGGTAAGACTCCTAAGCTTTACGGAGACAGTTTCTGCGAAGACCGCAATGTGCCTATTCTGTGAGCTAAAATTAACTTCCATGAGGTCTGAAAGGGATCCAGAGGATAAACAGCCCAGAGAGCGACCCAATGACAGAGAAACATGTTACATAAGCCTCGGTTTCAGAGTTTACTTCCAGAAATGTCTAGTCTTCATTTCACCATTTATAGCTTCACTGCCTTTCAGAAATAAAATAATTTGGGAAAGGGCAGAATCTAAGAGACGTGAGGTTTTGAAGATGAGAAATACAAGTCAAAGTTTCAAAACTTCGATAAATAGTAAATATTTTTCCTCAAAGTAGTCCATACGACTGCCTGTAATTCCAGACTCACAAATATCTAAAATTCCCTTTCATAATTGAATAGCTATGTTCTTAATTGGTGGATCCATTTCTAAAGCATTTATTTTTGAAGCACTTAAAGTAGTGACATGACAGGCTTCATAAAAATATTGGCATGTTATGTTTTATCATTCATAAAGTCAAGGAACTTGAGATTATTCTATACTTACACTGTTCAAGATAACTTCGCTGGTCTTATCTGTCAAACATAGGAAAAAACACAAGTCAGGGAAACATAAAATTTCTATTTCAATATACCACTTTGTTCATGTTTTTCAGTAAAATAATAAACTTTATCATAGTAATAAAAGGAAGAAAACCATATAAACATGGTGGCACAGCCCTGAATTGTGTGTTATCCTAGCAAGGTAATTTAGGAAGCTGTGAGTAATATCATATCTCTACTGCAGATTTAGTTTCATCTTCTGATAGTATTGTTTGTGACAGAATTTCATCTTGGACACCAGCATTACAGCTGCCATCATTACCAACTCCTCCAGTGCCACCATTATTTTGACTTTAAATTCTTGTTTATTTTGTTTCAGAATCACAATAGGCACTGTAGATATGATTATCATTGATTTCCGGGTAGGATGAATGATGCTTAGTCTGGTGAGGTCCACATGGTTAGCTTTAGGACATGGTACGTCACAAAGGAACAGAAATTGAGCTCTGTAGTTCCTACATAAAGATGATGCTCTAAATAAAACCAAGTCCAATGTGCTCCAAATAATTTGTGAAGCCACAACTGAAAGAAATCATTGAAAAATTATATTAGGTTAAAATGAAAAAAATAGAGACTTAATAGGGTGTTCTTGATAGGTATTAATATTAAGGAATATATTGACCAAGAAATATAGCAAAGAATAGCACACAATATAAGTGGAAAAAATCTTTATGAGTAACTTCAACTGATGTGCAAATAAAGTTTTAAATGCTATGAAATAATTGAATAATGATGATTTTTGGTTCATTTGCCCCCACATTAACTTGTATTTGCTTTCTTTATTTTTGTGAACACATCAAATTCATGATCCATCAAAGTCACTCTTGTTGGGGCCGGGGAGATGGCTCAGTGGAATAAGCACTTCCCTGGCAAGCACAAGGGCCTGAGTTCAATCCCCAGTTCCGCCAAAAAAAAAAAAAAAGTCACTTTTGTTAGTTTCTAACAGTGATAAATATAATTTGTTTAAAAATGGTTGAGGTAGTTATATGTTAAAGTCCTTAAAGTATTTTCTATGAATCTTATATGAGGAGGTTTTCCTTATTAACTCATTCGTTTGTTTTCCTCTTACTTGACTTTCAATGATGCCTGCTTTATTTGTCATTTACGTGTGTGTTAGCTGCTGTTTACAGACTGTCACAGAAAACCCATTTCAACTTCGGACCTTCTGCTACTTATAAACAATATGCAACTTGACACTCAACTCTAGAATTTTCTTAACCAAAAAATGCCAAACACATGATGATTTTGGTTTCCAAATGATACATAGTCTTAAATATTTCAAACATAAGCAAGATTCGAAATTCAAAATTCTAGTTCAGAAGCCTACTAGATATAAACACTGGGACATGCACTTCCATTTTCAACCTATGCCATTAGAGTAGAGCTAATTTTTGTTTGAGAGGAGGAAAGTAGAAAGAAGTGTAAAGCAGACTTTAGTTAAGAATAGATACAAATAAATTTTGTGTGTTGTGTATGTTCTAAAAAAGAAATCAGTTTCAAATGATTATTCTTTCAATACATAAATGAAGAAAGAAATCAACATATAACATGATGTGTGTGATTAATGGATGGGTCATTCTCAAAGACAACTATTTAAGAAAATCTAATGAGATATACAGAAGTTTCTGAAAACCTTGAGTTAGCTGTTGAGTTAGGTATATTACAGATGTAGCATTGTTTCTACCTATAAATTTTGATTTTACTATTACTTTTATTGGCAAGCCCAAACATTTGTACCATCAAGAGTTTCCTGTAGTAGACTTTGTATTTAAGTGGGGTTTTTTTTGCCTTGTGTTTGAGGCAAGGTCTCACTGTGTAGCCCAGGCTGGCCTCAAGCTCATGGTGATCCTCCTGCATCAGCCTCCTGAGTGCTAGGATTATAGGCCTGTGCCACCACACCAGGGCTTTAATTGCTTTTAAACATCACTTAAAACAGTTGTTTTTTTATCTAAACTTTATACATTCGAGTATATATTTGGGTGTATGAAATGTCTACCAAACCCCAGAAATTTTATGCAAAAAACTGTGCATATATATATATATATATATATATACAGATCTCTAGGAAAAGTCATTGATTCTGATCATGTATTCAGAGCTAAAAGCATGCTAAAAACCACTGAACATGTTTAATAACCAGTATGTTTAAATGTTTAGTCAGCGACCTTTCCTGATGTGTAAACTGGGTCTGGATTTATAAACCTAAAATGAAAAGAAAAAGACTCCATTGAGTTCATTGAAACAAGCATTTCAGTTCATGTAGTAATGCCTGTAGTGATATACACTAAGAAGCCAGAAGTGCACTCAGAGTTTTTCTTAAGTCCCAGTTTTCATTCATTGATGAGTAAATACCACCAAGTCTTTTTGGTTGGAGTTGCTCCTAAGAAAAGGCCCTTTACCCTTCACTAGCTCAACAGTGAGGATTGCAGAGTAGCAAATATTTGAAGGCAACTGCCCCCTACACCTTTACCACTGGGGTCTGATTCTATGTCTAAAATTGTTTTCAGTGCAAATGGAGATCACAGTGTGGTATCTGCCAACTTTCCATAGTAAGAAAATATTCGCTTTCTTTCTGGCCAAGTTTTAATTCGTTTTTCCATGTGAGCAGTCTAGAGTTCCTCGCTGAGCAGATGTGCTGCTGTCATCTCTTCTGGATTTCTCTTAACACTGGATGTGGGCATAGTGTCTGGTGATCCACTGAGTCCTCAAATTCTTTCAATTTAATACATTCATATAGTTGTGCTGTTCTCACTGAAGTAGCCCACTCGGTAGATTTATCTATTTTCATGGAATCTGACGCCTTAAGATATTACATAACACAGGAAGCACAGTAAATTGTAAACAGATATAATGGAAGAAAATCTCCTTAGTATACGCTCCTGTAATGGAGAGGTTTTCATTTGAGGAAAGCATTTATGCTTAGCAGGGCCATGTGTTTCTGATTATCCCTTGTTGAGGCTCCAAAATGAGCAATACTGTTTCTTTGACTATTGCTTGACTATTTGTTTTCCATGTCTTTTTACTCCCCCCTGATTCAGTGACTATTCTATATAACTCCTATTTTCTCCAGGATCTACCACGGCCTGAAGCAAATATGTAAATGAACTCATTTAAACTGTTCAATCTAATTGATTTTGCTTGAATTTCTAACAATGAATATTATATTTAACATCTGAGTATGTTGTAAAAATTACGAGCGATGGTCAAAATATTTGACGAACATTTAAATTTGAAAAGATTTACTATAATAAAAGGCATATTGCCACTAATCCCACTCAGAATGCTCCTTGTCACTTTGAAAAGACTTGTCACATCATATGCCACTTTCTGGAGGTGTTCTAGAAGTTGTTTTTCATAAGCATCTTCAGTTGTGCTGTTGTAGCTGCCTCAGTGTCCTGAAATGATTCAAACATTTACCATTCGTTATCATTTTAACAGTGAGGAAGGAAACTCCCTGGTGCTAGATCTGGTGGACAAGGTGGCAGAGGACACACAGGGACTTTCTAAAGCCTGCCTTGCTGTTGGGTGGCACTTGACGGAAGCATGCACCATATTCTTTATCACCCCTGGTGATTGCAAGAGGACTTCCGGACTGCTGTAGAGGAAGGCTGGGGCAGATATGTTCAAAGCAAGGGAGAGTATTTTGAGGAGTATTAAGGGCAATGTGTCTTTTACTGTAATAAATTTTAAAATTTAAACATGCTGTACATTTTTTGACTACATCTTGTACTTGGCTACTCAGGCTTTCTAGAAACAAAACTGTGGTCAAACTTTTACCTACTAGGAGGAGTGGGGAGGAAAGTGAAGAAGGTGGAAGGGCAGATTCAAGGAGAACATTCATCACTGGGGAGCACATGCAGGGCGGGTGCTATCCTCTACATCTCAGAACAGGCACTGGAGGAGGGAGCAGAAGAGTCTAGCAATTTTCCTGAGAAAATTTCTTGATTTTCTCTTCTTCCTTTTATTGGCTGGAGCCCATCTGCGCTATGTCCAGATAATAACCTGTATTCTTAGGACATCCACTAGGGATGCCAGTGCCTCTGGAGGTGTGACTTCAAGAGTGCCAAGGGGGACTTATTCCTCATTTTAAATCAACACTGTGGCAGGAGCTACAGGTCCATGGTGCAGAGGTGACAAAATACTGACACTGGTCTGGAGCTTTATGACCATGATGGGGTGAATAAGGACCACCAGAAAGTAGATGAGGCAAAGTGACCTAGTGACTATTACTATGACAGTAATGAAAATTTTACTTAAAGAACTCACAAGGTCCAAATGTGTGCTCTCTTTCAGAAAAAGGATTTTCTCTCTTTAAGTAAAAAAGCTGTAATTATCTGAGAACCTTCCTCTTTAGCTAGAGAAAAAAAAAAAATAAACCTCACTCCCTTTTAGCCTT